TAAGTTAATGTTGCAACCAATGCCCAATTCTGTAATTATTTATGTTAATTAAATTCAACTGAACATAAAATTGTACTTCTGCACACACATTAGCACAGGAAATATGCAAATTCAGTGATTACAATGTAGGAGGCAATGAAAGCATGCTGGAATTCAATCTGTAATGTGGTTTAAAGTGAATGTGGTTTCCGAAAGTGATCAGTATTCAGTAGTTTTGGCTCAAAGGCATAATTTAAGTGAAGGCCAAACGTGGCAAATAGTTAAGTGACTACAAGAGATTTGGTTTTATACCTTCAGTCTGACCACAGCAACTCGAATTAGCCACTGTACTGCTGCATGAAGGCTTAATGAGGTTAGACTGTGTGTGAGAAAACAAATCGCTTGTGTTCCAGTCCCTCCAGCTTCCAAAGGGACACATTTAAACTGATTCCATCATCATGTTCAATGGAGGTTAGACAAGTAGGCCTGAGTATTGTTTACTGATGGGTCCAGATAGAGTCAACAGTGATTTTAGACATATTTTGATCTGAAGAGAAGAAGGAACATGCAACTTGCCTTCCCTTGTTTGTGAAATATGCCGTTTCCACAACCGCAGTTTAATGGGTTGGGAAGAAATCATGACAGATAGTCACACTGAGCTGTGTATCTTTCAAGAAGGTTTTTGTCAATGCTCAGAGATCTGTGGGTGAGATGTTGGAGCCCTACGTTAGACTGTTTAAGGGTGCTATTGGCTCAGAGCCTTTGCTAATGGATGATAATGCTTGGCCTCATCCAGCATATGTGGTGTCAGAGTATTTGCAAACAGAAGATATCACTCAAATGGAGTGGCCACATTTCTCACTCAAGCTCGAACCCAATTGAGCATGTATGGGATGCCTTAGGGTGGTGAATTCAGCATGCCAAATTCCTTTCCATATTCTCCATGAGCTGAAAAATGCACTTTTAGAAGAGTGGTGTGCAAATGTACAAAACTTGATCAACACTTTGGTGAAGTCTGTACAATCAAAATGTGAGGTATGCATATCTGTCTGAGGTGACCATGCACCATATTAAAGAATTTTTTTCCCTCAGGTGAGTTAATTTTTCCATCATTTCCCAATTTTTATAAATTTAGTTTTAATTTCAATATTTTGCAAATAATCAACTGCCAAAGATTGTAATTTATGTTAAATAATATTTTTGTACAAATTCCTATAAATAATTTTCATTAAGTATCAGTTTCATTTTATTTCTGTGATTATCTTTTCATTTTGATGATTAGTGTTGACTAAAAAGTCATTACAAACATGCAATGACTTAATTATCCTTTACATTTTAACTTTTTAATCATCCTTAAGGATAATTACACTTAAAAAGGGAGCTAAAATTGCATTTCTGAAGAAAAGAGTGAACAGTTCACTAGCAGGGAGGGAGGTAATGTAAACTATGAATTGTTAAAACCATGTCCGACATAAGATAGGTAAAATATTTTCCTGAAAAAAAGTCACTCTTCATTTGCTTTATTTTAAAGAGTGACAATTCTTTTTCACTTCGTACAATTTAAAGCAGGAAGCTTTTACTATTTGAGAGCATTTATCTGTACATTTTAATTTCCCTGCCTCTTTTTGAAAAATGTTTGTATTTTCATTGACTTTTTGAGGGGTATTTTTTAATTAAAGTTCAATTTGCAATAAAAAAGAAATTAATTTTTTTTTTTAATTTTCTGAATTTACATACAATTTCCTATTTTAATATTAATTTTTCTGTCAGTTTAAACATCTATCATACCATTTACATTAATTTTAACTTATCATAGTTTTCATTTCTTCATGCAGTGGTTAAAATCTGCTGTTTGCATGAATTATGATTTCAACTACCCGCACCTAATTGGTAATACTAATTCAGAAGTCGAACAACAAAAATCAGCATTATATTTTCAAATTTTCACAGGCTAGTTTCAATGATTTTACCGAACCACTATCGTCAGCTGCAGAAGTGCAAATGAACGAGATAAGATATAATGATCAGATAAGATAAGAAAGCCTAGCTTTCTTGGTTGTTCTCGGAACTCGACGTACTCTCGAGACTCTCCACACTTCAACTCATGATGCACTCGACGACACAGAGAGCATGGCTCCCAACTCTTCAGTTCAGTCGTTCCCTGAGCTCAACACACTCTCTTGACAATGCACTAACTGCGATACACTAAGAGACTTCTTCGTGAACTCGACGATCCACTCGTACTCGCTGCCCAGGTGTCAACTCTGCAGGGATTGACTCGTTAGACGAGACACTAACTCGATACTATCTCGCACTCTATGCGAGGCACACACACACACCTCACACGAGGCACACTGTTCCTGACTGCGGACCAGCAGGGTTTATATAGCTTTCGGCTTGTGTTCGAGAACATTCTGGGCTAAACCGGTAAGAGTTTGTTTCAGAAGGTTCTCCATTCGTCCATGACATATCGCCAAATGGGCGTTTTCTCAACAAATGTGGTAAACCCTAAACCTGCTTTGCAGGGAAGCTATCTCACCATGCCTGTACATTTCGTAACAATACTATTAAATTGAAATAATGATGATGCTAATAATAGCATAATGTTATTTATACCACTTGATTCCCCCCTTTTTCTAGTAGAAAACATTATTTTTTCTTCCACCTGATTATGCTTTTGCAAATGCTAAGTTTAAATACTATTACTGTTAACAGCAACAGACAGTAAAATTCCTACATCATTCTAGCATATGCTATAGATCTGTGATAAGTATTTACAGTTTCAGGTAAATTTAAAAATTCATCAAAAACACAAAATCCTAAATGTACAAAAAATTTCCTTATTTATATAATAATAATTCAGAAAATATATTTTACATCTGTGGTCTCAAACTGGCAGTTTGATTCAAATTGACCAAAGCAATTTTTTACAACCCATGAATACATTTCCTGTAAATTAATTATTATTACTACGACATGAACTTGAATATGATTTTTATGATGAGTTCAGTTTCACATTATTTTCTTTATCATTAAAAATGAACATAAGTAACACTGCAAAAAAATACAAATGAAGCTAGTTAATTTAGAGTGTGATATAAATCTCATCCAAAGATTTTAAGATGGAGATTTGATTATTTTTCTTGGAGGAGGGGCACTTGTCTAATGATAAATAACCTCGATTACAAATTATTGTGATAAGAATAATACCTTTGTTTGGCAATACATTTATATAACATTTTTTGCAGATGAAAATTAATTAGTTTAAAAAAAAAAAAAAAAAAAAAAGAATGACTGATGAGCATTTTCAGTTCATGATAAAGATAGTTTATAATAATTTTTCTCCAAGATTACAAACTTTTTATCAAAATCAAAACACAATGAGGTATTGTAGTTGAAAGTTTCAATAAAAATAAAGACCTTTACAATTATTTATATACAAATGTGGTTTTTTTGGGGGGCATATATAAGAAGAATTTAATAAATAAAAGAAAGAGAATACTTTGTCAGTCTTTTTTTCCCACTTGGAACATTTTTATAGTATAATGATCAGAAATTTCTTAAGGATACTAGCCTTTAGATTTCAGACAGAAAATAAATATAAATAGGAATTTTTTCCTTTATGCCATTACAGTCAAAAGTCTTTAATCCGGATTTGTTGGGACTTCGGCGATTCCGGATTATAGATCATCAGTTTAAATATGGTAAGATGGCATGCAGAAATTATAAAATTAAAAATATAAAAACATAATTTATGAAATAAAGAGCATTTATGATCTAAAGGGTATCAATATTTACAAAATAAAAGCTTAATATTTATTTATTTACTTTATTAAACATTTCTTTCAATGCTCAATTTGATTTAAATCATATCAAAGACAGAGTACATCGAGATGAAATACTACTACATTATAAGACAAATAAAATAAACACATCTGCCCTGAAGATAAGGATAGTGCTGACAGATCAACTTCCAGTTCATTGCACACTGCAACGTCCCCCCCCCAATGAGCAGAGCAGCGTGAAATTGATAAACATATTTTGGAATGGTTAGAGAAACAAAGGAGCCTTTATCCATTTTTTGCAGCAATTCCACTTTTTGTTTGATGGACATCTAAACATGCTTTCCCTTTGTAGATCCAGCATCGGAAATTCTATTTGACATAATCGAAAGTTCCAACTTACTTTTATAAAATTGCTCTAACAGTCTGCAAAAAATAATAAGCCGATTCCAAGTCGAAGATTAAGGAACAACACAATCTGCAACATTAACTGAAATAGATAATTAGATAATTTTAGCTTAGCTTATACCATCCGTTATACATTAAACGCGCATGCATAAACGTATTATGCGCATGCGTACACGCATATGAGCATGCGTCAACGTGATGCATGCGCAGAAAGTTTGTAGCTTTGAGGTACGGATTATATATAATTCCGGATTATGGGTGTCCAGATTAACGACTTTTGACTGTAGTATAGTAAGTATTTACATATGATATGATAAAAGTTCAGTAAATATAATTTTAAATTTAGTAAAAAAAAAAAAAAAAAAACTCAGCCCATCATCTGCTTTCAACTGCATCATTTGGCAGGTGTGAAATTTGAATACAAGACCTACACAATATTTTTCAAAAAACCCCACATAAAAAATTCAGCTCAACAAATGATCCAGCACATTTTAATTTTCTTAAATTGCATTAAAGAATACCAAAACAAAGAAAATGCTTAAAAACCTGAGCTGGAAAAAGACAAACAATATAACGACTAACAAAACAATAATTAGGAAGTCCAGAAATAAATACATTTTACCTACTATGAACTTCATTCAGTTCAGTGAGAAATTTCTGGAAACAAATGATTTATTCAAATTATTAAGATAAAATAAGTAATCAGTCATTTCAGTTTAATAATCTAAAATGCTACTTGTCTTCGAATTAAATGTGTCACAAAACCTGTAGTCAAAAATAAATTTTAAAAAAATGGCAAAATTCAAAAATTAATAAAAAATTAATGCTTACTTTAATTACAATATGCGGATCAATTGCTAACACAGTTACAAATGGAGCACTTGCATCTGAAAAAAGTGTATGAACTGCATCTAAAATATACAGAACTTTATCTTGCTCACAGCTATCAAGTCCATCTACAATAACCACAAGTCGTGTTTGCTGGCCAACAAATGCATCAAGACACTGAACCTAATAAATTTAATAAAAAATAATTAATTAAAAAAAATACTTTTACCGTTATTTTTTACATTAAAAAATTAACTAGTTAATTTATTAGATTAATACTTAAGATCACCTCCTCCAAAAATTATGAAATTTGCTTAGAATTTAAATTTAAAAAGTAGATTTGAAGCACTTCTTTTCAAAAGGTTTTTAAAATAAAAAAACAAATAAACAATTAAGTTCCTTAACAATGATTGCTGTGCACAAATTTAGGCTCTTATACACTGTTGGCCACCGTAAATGTAACACTCTGAAGGAAGCATGCAAATAACATGAAATTTACAACATATGGATTAGCGGAGGTGAGATATGCAAATGATTAGCATTTCAGCGCAGGCGCCACTTCAAAGCGCTACGCTATTTAAGGCTTGGAGTTTTCGATGATTTCAAGTTCAGCAATTGTGTTTCTTAAAAAAAAAAGGGGGGGAAGATCAATTATGCCTTGTAGTAAACAGCGATCATCGTTTGATCAAGTATCCGAGTTCGACAGAGGAAGGATAGTGGCCTACCGAGAGTGTGGATTATCTTTCAGGGAAATTGGTAGTCGTGTTGGACGAAACCAAACAACTGTAATGTGGATATGTAACCATTGGATGCAAGGAGGGTACGACGGACCGACATGTTTGATCGCATCCATACCAAAACAATTTCTCAGTGCACCATTCACGTGATGACAGGAACACTGTGCGTATGGCAGTGATGGATCGCTCAGTCACATCACGAACCATAGCACAGCACATTCAGTCTGTAATGCATCATCCAGTGTCTGCGTGTACCATTCGACGCCGTTTACAGCAGAGTGGTCTGTCTGCAAGACATCCATTGCTTCGTCTACCCTTGATGCAGAACCACAGACGTCTCTGCCGCTGATGGTGTGATGAAAGAAGGATGTGGACGGCAGAATGGAATGAAATTGTCTTTACTGACAAGTCACGCTTCTGTCTGCAACACTATGATGGTCGGATTCGAGTCTGGAGACACCATGGAGAGAGGATGCTGAACAGCTGCGTTGTGCACCGCCACAACTGGTCCTGCACCAGTATTATGGTATGGGGCGGTATTGGATATCACTCTCGTCCTCCTCTAATACGCATTGCTGGTACTTTTAATAGCCAGCGCTACATCTCCGAGGTGTTGGAGGCAGTTGTCCTTCCTTACCTTCAGGGATTGCACACAGCCATATTTCAACAGGATAATGCATGAGCCACACGTGTCATGCATTGTCCAAGGGTACTTCGTCAATCACCAGATTGCATTGCTTCCCTGGCCAGCTCGCTCTCCGGATCTTTCGCCGATAGAAAACATGTGGTCCATGGTTGCTGAACGATTGACCCAGATTACATCCCAAGCTGCCACACCAGATCAACTTTGGCAACATGTGGAGGCTGCTTGGTCTGCTGTACCCCAAGAACACATCTAAAGTCTCTTTGAATCAATGCCGAGGCGTGTGGCAGTGGTGATCTCCAACAATGGTGGCTACTCTGGCTACTGATTCTCGAAGTAACCGCACTTCACAGAAGTCTATAAATTTAATCATTTGATACTTGGTCAACATGTTATCTACTAAATAAATTTTGTTTTGATATCTCTTGTCTTTCTTGGTGTTGCAGTTTGGGTGTCCAGCAGTGTAATAAAATTTTATATGCAAAAACTAATAAAACAACAACAACGAAAAAAAATATTTAATCAATATCTAATTCAGAAAAAATCTCTATGCTTAGATTGGTTTATAATCCTCAGATTTATAAAACTCTAGCCACTCCCATTTTCAGATACAATTACAAGCAATAAGATTATTAATCCTGGCTATAAATATATAGTGTTTTTCCAGTTCAGATTTATGGTTTTGTTTGAGAAATCGAAACTTTCATTAGAAAGGAATACACCGTTTATTTAATTTCCAAACAATTTTTCTTCCCTGCAAAAACTGATTTATTGAGCATCAATATAATATTGTCAGTAAATGTGTCAAGGTCTCATAATAACTTCAGTTTACACAGGTGGCCACAGTCGGTTTTATGAGAGATGCAATAGTACGGAAGAAGCAGGAGGATACTCATTATAAGGTGAAATGTTAGATATAAAGGTATATCAAATTTGTGTTTGATTTTCTTTTTAGCTGGACAGCCACATAAACTTATAGAGTGTTGAAGAATGTAATGAACTAATGAAATTTGAGTAGTAATTGCATTTCAAAGTCTGTGAAAGATAACTATCATCTCTGCTACCTTGCTATCAGCTGTAACAAGAATTGCTGAAGCAAATGTTTCGAGGCCAAACAGCAATCTATAAATCCAGCAGGTAAATCCTACACTGCCTACAAAGTGCTATTTATAGAAATGGTCAGAAATTAGACTTTTGGAAATTAATGCATATAACACAATTTCCCACATCATTCAATGCTAATATCAGAACTTTAAAGGGAAAGGGAGCATTCTAGTTGTTCCTTAACAGCATTTTCTTGATCTTTTTGATTTTTTTTTTCCATACTTCTTAGGGTAAAATACACCCTTAAAATGAAAACATTTCCAAGATCTTAAAAGATAATCACAACAGAGATGCTTTGCAGCATTTCAAAACAAATGCTCCAGCACTGACTAATGCCTATTAACAGATGAAAGCATTTAAAATCGCAATAACAACCTTGTATTTAGCGTAGGCTTAACAATACAAGGTTGTTATTGCGATTTTAATTGTCACATTGGCGTGTTTCTCTTATATTCTAGATGAAAGCATCTTTGAAAGTGATATCATAGATCAGTTGTTATGAATTCATTTGATTTTTTAAAATTTTCAGATTAAGAATTAACGAACAGTTCTTGTATTATAACTGCTGCATTGTGTAATATGTCTAGGATTATATTTTAATTGAGTTACAAATACATACAAAACTAATATCATGAAAAAAATTAAAGAGAAAATGATTAATTAACAAGCATACCATCTGAATAATAGTATCAACTTCATTTTTCAGTGAGCTGGCAGAACTTTCATCTTTAGTTGAGCCCATTTTCATGAAACCGCCAGTAATTCTACTCTGATGTGAACACACCAAATTTTTTATAATTCGCAAAAATATACACAGATTCGACAAAATGACGAAAAGTACAACACAGGACATAGCAATAAAAATGGATCTAAAAATTGTTGTTTGTTCATCAATGTCTGCACTAAAGTCAGCAGCATCTGTCTGTAGTGCCAAAGTAATACTGCAACCCACAAATACAATTAAAAGAAAAGCAATTAGGAAATTTGGAATACAGCAAATTCTCCTGTACTTCCACCATTTTGAAGCCACTACATGAAAATAAAAAATTGCATAAACAAAAGATCATTCCAATTTCAAGGTAAAAGTTAAATGTTATAAAATCAAGCATTAAAAAATGTTATACTATACATAACAATAAAATAAAAATAGAATGCAAACATGATCTTCCACCATTTTGAAGCCACTACATGGAAAAAAAAAAAAAAAAAATGCATAAACAAAAGATCATTCAAATTTCAAGGTAAAAGTTAAATTAATATTATAAAATCAAGTATTAAAAATGTTATACACCATACATAACAATAAAATAAAAATAGAATGTAAACAAAATGAAAAAATATAAAATATTTGTTTAAAATATAATGTTTGCTTAATTTAAAGCTTGTTTTTGGTGTTAAAATCATTGCATTAAGATAACACAAATAATCAGGAATTTTTACACTATAACACATGTCAAACACTTTTCTCATGTATGTAACACCTCAATTTTTCCAGCTAGATATAGCAAGTTTTCAATATTAGCTCATTTTTAATGACTTTCTAAGCCTAAAAAATATATCTCTTAGGTCAGTTATTTAATGTTTACTTTCGAAATAAGAACACTGTTATAACAGTACACTTAATTTAACACTAGACAATAACAAATGCTGGCATTCATATCTTTCTACAGAAAATTATTTGATCTATATTTGCCCAAAAAAGGAAAAATTAAAATATTAAAAATAATACTAATATTTACCAGGTCTTGGTTTCAGGACCCTATATAAACGGCATGTAAAAAGCCCATATTCTTTTTCGATTGCAACATGTAAAGAAATAATAATTTGCAAGACTGAATTTTCAGTACCAGAGCTAGTAACCTTAGTTTGTTCAGTAAACAGAAATCTGAAATAAAACAGTAAAATATATGATTAAATGTTATTTGATAATTAAAAAGCAAATTTTCAATAAAAAATAAAATCCTAAAATCATGAAATTAAAGTATTGTAAAGGCAGATCAGAATTATTATATATGCATAATTATTTATATACAAATGTGTGTATTTTTTTGCATGTATCAGAAAAATTTATTAATGATCATTCAAAAACAACTTACCTCACTGGATCTGTAAGATCATTTCTTTTATTAGCTGGAGGACTGCAGAATATAACAAACAACAATGTTCTCAAAGAATTCAGTTGATTTGCAAGGTATAAGCTCACTTTGTACATCCAGGATAAATCATAGTTCTTATTACAGTAAATAACAACTCCTATAAAAGAATAACTCAAAATGAGAACCAAGAACAAAAATTAAGTATCCCATATCAGTATATTTTTCAGTTCAATACCAAACTGTTTTTTAAATAACATAAATTATGCATATCAAATCGTTTGCATAGTAATTTACAGTTAAAGCCCAGATTTCACTAATGCAATGATGGCTCAATGACGATGATTTACTCTGGAGAAGAGCACAAATTTTGAGTTAAATTTAAACGACATAGAATTTCAATTAATGATTCATCAATTATTAATTTTTTATGTAGTATGTTATCTGTAATTTGAAAACTTAAAATATACTAACTTTTCAAACTACTTTTCAAATTAATGTGTCAAATTTGGATTGTACGCTTTGTGACTGTTGGAAGACCAGAAATTATCAGCCAACGGAAAATACTTTTAAAATTGTTAAAATCAATTTATTATGGACTATATTCTGAAACTATTATGGTACATTCTCTGAAATTATAGCCCAAGTTTTTTTTAATAACAACCTTTGATATTAATGCTACTATAAGTGCTTTTATTTCAAATATAATAATTGCTCTCCAATCTCTCATTATCAATGTTTATTCTGCATATGTTCTGCATATTTATTAGTATCTTCAAGCATTAGTGAACACAGTAAAAGTATAAAAAATGCACTGCTTCATTCTGTAGTAGGGCCGAAATCAGAGCTTGTGCAATCAGTAAGGTCATACCAGGCAGCAGAATGTAGAGGTGGCAAAAATTTTTAGAATCTATAGAAGTAATGGACAGAAAAATTGAGGAATAGCAAAAAATTTTTTATTTAGAGGAGACACTGGGCAGCAAAATGTTTAGAATTAAGAGGGTGCTGGGAGCAGATTTAGGACTTGTAGAAATTGGATCATGCAGCAAAATACTTAGAACTAATCAGGGCTGTGGAGTCCATAGGGAAAATGACAGACTCCAACTCCTGGAATTTCAAAGACTCCGACTCCCTCATATATATTATATATATATATATATGTAAACATGTACTCATAGGTTACAGCTTATTTTTTTAATATAAAAGAAGTAACAGATGCTACAGGAAAAAAAAAATTGATGGCATAGAAATTATTTATATTTATTATGAAATGAAAAAAGTGGCATTAGTTTTTTTCTAAGGAAACAGTATTAGCTTTGGCAAGATCTTCTTTGTTGGTAGGCGCCATGGATCTGGTTTGATAAACTTCAGAGCTGAGAAGAGTCTTTCCAACACTAACTTGAGTAGTAGGAAGAGCTGTTAGTGTTAGGGCTACTTTCTTTTAACTTTTCAGGATAGATATTTTTATAAGTTTCTAAAAGAGGTGTCTTCGCAAGTGGCAATCATATTTCTCTATTTCTTCAAAGGCCGTGTAGAAATTTCTCGTTTGTATTTTTTCATTTTTATATCATTTTTATTTCTATATATTTTTATATCTATCATTTTATATCTATAATGGTATTTTTATATCTGTCATTTTATATCTATTTCTATCTTATATTAGGCTCTTGGTTCTTTATTTTCATTCGCTTTGCCTTAGCCTTTTCTATATTATCCAAAAATATTTCTCAAAATCTAATTCATGACTGGAAGATGATAGAGACTCAATTGCAATGTCTGCAGTCTGATGTCCTGGTTGTTCTCCAAGTATTCTGAGAATAATTTCATTCTTAATTAAAATTTACAGATGGCTTTCTTTGCCTTTTTAATTTGTTAGTCATCCAAGAAAATTCAGTGCTTCGGATATACATGTATTGAACGCAGCAAGATCTCATTGTTTAGCAAACTAGTTTTTCTTTTCTTCATTGAAGAAATTCCCTGCAATAAATCCTCCATTTCAGAAAAAACAAACATCCCATTTTTCCATTCTCACCTCCTGTCGATTTTTCAGATTGCAGCTTTTTTGGGCTATATATGGTGCAGAAAGAAGAGTTTCCAATTCTGCAAGATCATTCCACAGTCTTTCTTTTAGTGAAACATTAGGGTTATCTACATTTTCTAAAAAGGTTCTTAATTCTAAAAAACCTCTTTATCATCAAAGTATGTACTTCCGTATTGCATCGCTTGATCAAATAATTGCTTCTTTTCCTGCTCGCTTCTTAAAAATGGCATCAATTTTGGGATTCTTGCTGCTATTGCTGCTTACCTAAATTTACCAGTGAGGTTTGTAACTAAATTAATCCATTTAATCACTAATGGCAAATATCACATCCATCCTCCTCCCTTATATTTATTTTATTAATATGTCAATAAAATAGAAAATAACTATTTATTAATGTATACAGTACATAAATAAAAATAATAACTCAGCTTCTCATTAATTTTTGTCAATTTATTATAATTTCATTTCAAATTCAAACTGTCCCATAAAAACTGGAGTTGGAGTCAATCTGTTTTTAGCGACTACAGCTTCGACTCCTTTTACCCCAAAATCTGCTCGACTCTGACTGACTCCACAGCCCTGGCACTAACACTGTCTTGTCGATAACAGAAATGACATCATTGTCATCTTAGTTATTTAGAAAACTTTTTGGACATGCTTTTAAAATCTCTTTCTTGAGCCGTTATAACATTTAAAAGAACAATATACGAATAAAACTGAATCAATAAGTCTAAAATATATTGAAATTATTTCCTAAATTAATGTATCCATCAATTTTATAAAGCATAGTTGATTCTGCTACAAAATGGTTTGACATTTCTCAGCGTAAAGAATATAAAACATACTTTGGTGTTTTTCAATATAAATTAAAAGAAGTACTATCCGAGACTTGGTTTCCTTCACCACAAACAAGCACTATCATTCTACTTGTTCTTTTCAATAACAATTTTTTCATCACAAATGGGTTTCAATCAGTTAAGCAAGGAAAATGAAACACAAAGCATTTCAAAACCAAAAAACTGAAGAATGCATCAGATTTCAGCAGTGAACATTTTAGCAAACTGATCACAATAATTTTCCATCAACAGTAATTTTACAAATAACAATTTTTCTTTTAATTTAATTAATTAATTAACTTTTTCAAATTTTAAATTTTTAATTTGTTACTATGGCATTTTAAATCACGATTAAATCTAATTTCTCGTGCCAAAATTTTCAAATTTTCCACTTCAATAAAATTAAAGTATAAAAATTTGCAAATAGTATTTCATAAAAACTGTCTTTTTAATATTACTGTTTATTCAAAAAGACATTATAAAAATACTGCATTAAATAAGAAATTATTTTCTAGGTCACACACACACACACAACAAAAAAAAAAAAAAAAAAAAAAAACCCTACAAACTGGGATAAAGCTGACTGACAAAAGTCTGAAGAAAATATTTTTCACTAAACTAAAAATAATCATAGTAGTAAGACTTACCAAGAAATATAACAGATGACATGAATGTGCCAACAAAAATGTAGATTCCAATCATCCACATCTTTGTAGAAAGAAAGATAATTAATCCACAAATAAGGGATAAGATAAATATTATAAGGAAAACTAACCGAGTGAATTCAAACATAGGTTCTAGCCACTGAATTGCAAAACTTTTCATTTCATCTGAAAAGAAAAATGATCAGATTACAACCAAATTAGCACAACTTTATTGGCATGATATTTAATTAATATGTAAAATTTTATGAATAAATTTCACTTAATGATATTGTGGCAGTTACTTAAATGAATTAATAAATGGATATGGAAGAGAAGTAAAATAAGCATAAATATACAGTCAATGCTTGTTATAACAGCTACTCATTATAGTAACTCTTTCATTACAATGACAAGTGCAAAATGTCTTCAGCTTAGGAGAGTACATTAAATACACTTTTGCTGTACAATAATTTATTACATATAATATCTTTTTTTTTAGGATAAAAGGATGATTATAATGAGGATCAACAGTGCTTTATGTTGCCAAACTTTCTGAAGTTTACTGGAAAAGAAAGCTAAGATAGTCTCTACTATTTACAGGGGTGTTTGTAGGACCCCAAAAAATCCCCTGAAACTTTTACGGACTTACTACCGACATTTTGGAGTTTCGAGAAGAGGGGGGAGAAATGAAAAATTACAATTATGAAGTATTGAATGACCTAATTATAAAAGTTCAATGAATTACTTTTTTTTGCAAAATTAATAACCATAAATTTTCAAACATATAAAACTACTACATTTTATGTAAATATTTTAAATTACCTGAATTAATTCTTTAAAAAAAATTATCTAATTTCTGCTGCTTTTTTTTATTTTCTGATGTTTGTGGGCTTGTCTTTCTTTTGTGGTGAACTTCATAATTGCAGGAAGGTTGACTTTTATTTTCCTCATTTACAGTTGAAGAAATTTCCTCGAGAACTGCACATGCAGAGGTAGAAGCAGTTTGCTTTTCTGCTAATGTAGAAGGTTTTTCAGAGACTTTTATAGGTGACTCATCTGAAATACATGTTTTTAAGTCCTCTTGATATGTTTTCCAACTTCTGTTCATATTCAGTAAGAGATCTTTGTGAATTGGATCAGTCATTGGATTTTTTTAGCCATATTTTTCACATGAGGTTTCTTTAGAAGCCATTAAATCATATTTAATAGTCTGCACTGCATCTAGGGAATCAATCTTAAGAGAGGTTCTATAGTCAGTGACAAGTGTATCCATTAAGTTGAATGCACTTTCCACTAATGGGCCATGGAAGCAGCTAAGGCAGGCTTTGACCAATTTAGCCAATGTAGGATACTTATAATCATTTGTGAAATCATCTTTTAAATTAAAAACTTTAGACCAATATTTATCAATTGTACACTTGATTTCCACTTTCATCAGATGTGTAGAGCATTTCGTTGGTGATATCAATATCACTCTGGTATAACCTTATTTCAGCTTCTACTTTTGACTTTTCATTATCACTAAAAATATGGGACATAAAAAAAGATGATAATTTTTCAAAAGCTAATATTGTACTGGTTTTACCTCTTAGCTCTGGATCTAATGCTGTAAAATTTCTGTTTAATATGCTGTGCTGTATTAGTATAAGCTTTCATCAGAGAAATTTGGAATTCTTTTGCTATTGGATGATTTTTTTGATAATTTCTTCAGGAGAGTGGAAGCTTCTGCACCAGTAAATATTACTTTGCTAGGTAGATGGAATTCTGGATTGTTGACATCAACCTTTAATAAATCATTATAAGATGTGCACTCTATATTTTCTGGCTTCATAAAAAAAAGAGAAAAATTTTGCCATCAATTTATAAATACTGGAATGTATTAAATGAAGCATTGGTTTTTTTTTGTTTCAAATAATTTAATATATGTGTTGAACTCTGGTAATACTGCTGAATATAATGCCATATGCAATAAAGTTTTGTTTTGCATAACAAATAACCCATTTAGTATTCTTTTTTTTTTTTTTTCTGAGCTAAAGCATCCTTTGTGAGTTGTTGGGAATGCAAGCAAGAATACACCCCTTCAACAATTTTCTTCTGAGCTGCAGAAATATTTCTTTTATTGTATACAGTTTCAACATAAGAAAAATAATCCCCTTTATCAGTTTTATCCAAGTAGTGAAAATAAAATGCAATAAGAGCATCCCACAGATCTTTGATTCTTTCTAAAACATGGCAAGGGATTCACAGATTTTGAAAAAATTTTCTCTTTTACTGCAGCTTTTCATATCAAAATAGATGTCATCAAACAAATCTTCTAAGTATCTATCAAAACATGAAGCAAATTTTTTTGCACAGTTATTAGCTGTGTGACATGTGTCACCATCAATATCTAATAAGTGGGGTGCTTTGTTTGATCGTAGTCTGGTTTCAACACCCTTTTTTTTTCCACGCATGGTGTTACATGAGTCCATTAATACACTAATTAAGTTTGCCCATGGAATATTATTATCTTCAATAGTATTAACAACTGCTTTAAAAACAGCTTCTGAATTGCAAGATTCCATCTTTAGAGATGCAAAATGATGAACTACAACTTCATTTTGATTGTTGTCATAAAACTGCACCAATATTGCCAGTATACTTTCTTGAGCATTGCTAGTACTTTCATCCAAATTTAGAGAAAATGGAGTCTCCTTTAAAGTTTTAATGATATTTTCCTTAATAGTTTTTGCGAGCGAGCCCATATTTCATCTTATAACATGCAGTAGTCCTGGACATTTCCAACGAGTTTAGTGCCGTCTGATCGCGGCTCAACTGTTTGCAGAGTTCAATTAAATTGGGAGCTACATTGAAAGAAAGAGAATTCTCGGCGATAAACGAAGTTATTAATACCTCTTGGCGTGCTTTTCTTGTCACTATATCCAATGGCCGAGCATCAGTCTCCAGTAAGTCATCAGTATTTTTTGAATTAGCATAATTACTTAAAGTCATTGAATGTCTAATGCACTTTGAATATTTTATGTGCGTCACAGTTTTAGAATGATTTGTGAAAGCCTTGAATCCTTCCCCACCATACTTCAGCAGTGAGTTACAAAAAACACAATATGCTTGTCCAGCAACATTTATTTTCTTGCACCATGTGCCGATGGTATCCCCATTACCATCTCTCCGTTCAATCCAATTCCACCTAAATGCATTCCGGACACCTTCTTCTAATTGTATAATATCACTATTTATATCGAGAAATTTCATAGTGAAATTCTCTTGCGTACATAAATAAAAAAATATTTCAATAAACGAAACGAAAAATTTACACGTGCATCAATAAATGAAACGAAAATTTTACACAGCGGAGAAAAAAAAGTTGAGAAGCGATCAATGACAAATAGCTAATACGGCGAAAAATCCCCCTTCTCTACTTATTGGCGCCACGCCAGGAGAGATAAGACCTTTGAACCCAGAGTCACGTGATCGCACATCTGGTCGAACGAAGTCTCTCCCTTTTTTTCTGCCGCGCCTACTTGCCGAAAAGAATCCAGAAGAGAATGTCCGAGAACCGGGGGAATGAGTCATAACTCGCAATAAGGAAAGAACAAAAAAAGAAGTTTTTTCCCCATTTTCACGCATTATCACTGCCTTTGGAGAAAGAAAGGAAAAGTTTTCACCACACACGCTGACCTTGCGTTTTCTGCTTTCAAAGCAATCAAAATTACCCAGATCAAAATAAATAATTCATTATTATTCCTACTTCCTTTTGAACGACGATCCCCGGAATTTCCAGGGGATTGAAGTTCAAAATCCCCGGAATCCCGGGGTTTCCCCAGAGCACAAACACCCCTGTATTTATGAAGAGTTTGTATGTGCATATGTATATTCCTCACATTGTGGAAAAATAACACAGCACTTACAGCAATCAAATTTTGAACAAATGTAGTCCTCCAGCCAAACACATGCATCTCAAAGCCCTAATTCTGAATCTTTTTTAAAAAATTTTTTTATTTATTTCATATCGTGTGTGAATTTTATAAGCTTCTGATTAAAAACTAGGTGATTTAAAATCTTTGTGTTTCCACTATTTATGTTTCAAATTTAATCAGAAAACTCAGCAATATAAATGAAATGTGTTGCCAGTCACCAAAATGCAATATACTTGTCTTCTCAACTTAATTGCGTTATCGAAATGCTAGAGCTGCCAAATTTTGAACATAAACATCCAAACATGTGCATGATGGAGTTAGAATTTTGAGTTTCAAAATTGTTTTTATTTCCCATTTTGGGCAAATTTATGGAAACTTTTGATTAAAAACTCAGTGATATAAGTTTTGCATTGCCACTCGGCCAAAAGTAAGATATTTATGTTTGAAATTTGATCAGAAAACTCAATGATGTAAAAGAAGTGTGTTGCCATTAATCAAACTGCAATATAATATATGTATCTTTTATCACTCTTATGCCGAATTTAATCAACAAACTCAGCGATTTGAAAGAAAAATGTTGCCACTGTCCAAAATAAAATATTTTTATCTTCCATGCAGCAGTGCCTTGTTGTTCAATAAAGCATATTTAATTTTTTTTTTTTTTTTTTTCAAATCTATTCTGTTACTGATTATGGAACTACACAATTTAAAAGTAATCGACAAAGATTCCTTTCCTGATGAAGTGGCACTGAAGTTGATTGAATTACTCTACTGTTTTGTTCTTTTTTCTTTTAATTTCTTTAAGAAATATTTTTGAATTGGGGTATTGGTTGTTTAAAAGATTTGGTTTTTACTTTATTAAATTTTTTGTTGCATTTATTAGATTATTTGAAATTTATTAATTATGAATTTCAAATTTTCATCTTTGTGGCATGTTAGTTCTAAATTTCTTATTTTATGTCTTTACATATGTGTAATAGTTTGGTAGGCAAGCACAGGAATGACAAAGAAGGCTCTAGCTCTTAAGTTTTCACATCTTTATTCAATTCTCGCCGCAGATAGTTTTTACTTTAGATTAAATTCTCCAAAATCGCATATTCAATAGTGATTTAAACTAAATAAGATTAAATTTAGATTTTCTGTGTCATAACTATTCGATCAAAGGAAAGATGGGATGTGCAGCAGTGAAGTGCTGTAGCAACAGGTAGAGAAAGCAGTCTGATGAAAAATGGCACAAACTCTGTATTTATACTAGCGGTTATATAACATGCCAGAATGTTCTTGAAAGTACTAGTCTAGGGGAAGATCCTAAAATTGCGGAAAGTAAATCATAGGTTGCCCGTTTGCACAGAGCAAAGCTATCATATTTTTTATATTTTACATACATATATATATCTTTTTTATAATAACTATCTTAGGCTGCTGGCCGCAGAAGTGGTTATTTGTACAAAAAATCAATATTGTGCAAACTATAAGCATTTTAAAGCTTTAATTAATTTTTGCCTGAAGATTCAAATTCCTATTAATTTCCCTCTTAAAATAAAATTTACACTGATTTCAAAAAAGAATAGAAATTCAATGCACCTCCTCTGATGACGACTCATATATGTATATATATATATATATATTTACTTTCTGATTATCACCATAGCCAAAAAGTCATGCAAAAGTATTTACGAAGCATTATATCTCGCTACCAAAAATTATTTATACAGCAATCCAGGTATGTGCATAGCATATATCTATTTAAGTATATTTGATTTTACATGTTTGAAATTCAAACCATCATTTTTGTGATTGTGTTTTTTTATGTTAAACATATTTCATTTTCCTCTAACTATCCCAATGGGATTATCATAATGGACATATAAATCTAAAGTTTGCAGGCTAACGAAAAAAAGAAGTGTTGCATTTCTACAGAAATCTGGCATTTTGTCTAACCATACTGAATACAAAATTTCACAATATATGAAACTGTACTTCTTAAAAACCAAATTTTATGGAAATGCAATGTAAAAAATTTCAAGCAAAATGTTAAAATGCAAACAAGAAATTGGCTTGAAAACCACAGCATCTTGTTTATAACAGCCTTACTTACTGTTGACCAGGAACATAATTAATGCCGAGGTTGCTTGTGAAGTCAAGTTTGTGAACATCTCCGATTTTTTTTTTAAATCAAAAATATATTGCCATTTACATAGGGAGAACAACAGAAAAACTGCAGAAAGATATCTAAAAAATGGTTAAGTATTTTGTTGCCAATATTTCTTGCTGCTTTTAATTTTATTGATTGATGGCTCTTTTATGGAACTTAGTGCACAAACATTTTGAAATGGATCTTGCCCTTTTGCAACCTTTCACTGAAGACGAGTTTGCAACCTTTCAGTGAAGAGTTTAAATAATCAGAAGGTATCTTGTTTTTTCTACTCTTACCATAATTTGCTCTATTTATAATTACAGATTACACTTGTTTACATTTTAAAGTAAATAAAAAATTAATTCACTTACTTTCTAATTTATTCAATAAAAAAGATTTTCCACTGCCCCACTTAGCATAGAGTCCCACTGAAATAGGCATTGATAAAGATGGTTCACTAAGAATGTCAGCAAGTGCACTGCTATACAGATCATAACCCAGTCGATTTTCACTATCTTCATTAGTATTCAGTCGTCCTAAAAATATACAATTTTTACATGTTATAGGGTTAGGTTAAGTTATTTGAATATGGCAAAGCTATGCAATTAAAATTTCATAATTTAAAATTTTAATTTTAATTAACTTTAAATTTGCTTTATATGAATGGAGAATGTTTGTTAAATTCAAATTTCTTATATTTAATATATTTGCAGCTGCTATTATTATTACTGACATTCATAATATTTCTATAAAGACAAATGGAAAATTATACAGTTAAATTAACTTGACAAATTATTTCCTTTTAACACATCATCCAATTAGAAAATGCCTCTTCACATGAAAAATTATATTACAACTTCAATGAAATTTTATTAAAATGAAAAAAGACTTTCTCAACATCATACTTTTAACATATTACAATCCGGAAACAAATCTTATATTTGATTCATTTTTACAAATGAATAACTTAGAGCAATCACATAAATACACATGTTATTCAGTAAATGAAATGAAGACTAAAGTGTAGGTAATTAAAATTATGGTAATGCGGTTTTAGATACTTCGTTGATATAAACAGGTTTCTCCAAAACCCTGTAAAGACTGGATCAATTCATCCTATGGAAAAATGAAACTATTCTGAACAAGAGTTAATGAAACAAAACTATTTTGGACATAATTAATTAAATAGCATTAAGCAGTTTCACGTTCTCAGCCCTTTGATGACCTTTAATTGTATTTGCAGCAGAATCATTATTTCCACTGTTGGCTGATGTTGGACCTTTATAATTGGTATAGTTAACCAAATGCTTCCAATTGAGTTTCAGTTTATTTTAATGGCAATGTTTGCCAGTAGAGGGTGCCCATGAAGAATGTTCATTTGCACTTCTACTGACAGTGAGGATAGAATCTTCAATTCTCTGTTCTGTAACATGACGCTTTTAAGGATTACTCCAAAAACAGCTGTCACTCAAGGAAGTCATAAATAGTAACATCTTTCATGGGCAGCACTTGCAACACCCCTACATAAGGCCCCTCCCAACACTTTAATGTTATAGGTGCGATATTCTGATAGACAGCCAGCAAAGTGTCACTAGCGAATTTGTTTTGAGCTCAGAGTATGTTTGGAAAACCCCAATCTGTTGGATGTGTTCTTGCAGTTAAGTTTGTGGGGATGGGGCATGAGTGCATAGCTATTGTGATGCCACAGGTTGGTTGGATGTGGCTGCATGAGTATGTGGTCGATGCTACAGTTGTGTAGTTGTTTGCCTGTGTACGAAGGGCAGCAGCACAGCATATTTCATCACATATTTCAGCAGCACAGCATATACCAATCATATACTGTAGTCACTACTATGGCAGAATTATTTTTTTCACTGTTGGTTGCAAAGGTATAGCTAGGATGCAAGGTTTTATAGTAATTGGGGGTGCAAGCGACTTCAGAATGACAAAACCAAAATAAAATTTAACTTAAATATATTTCACACTGATGGAATGGAAAGACTGCTGAATACTAATAACACAGTCCTAGAATTTCAATCCTGTTAAAATGGCTGACTACAAGAGTATTTCTGTAGATTATCCCATGTGTAATGTGAAACCAAGTCAGTTTCCATTAGAAGATACTCCATGAAGATGTACTTTTCCTTACATAGTTTTCTAACTTTGTTACAAGTGAATAAATGAATAATAAATAACGGGCTTGTAACATACATGAAAAAGCAAACTGTTGTAGTTTGAGGGATAGGAACAAAGATACTACTTTCTTTTTCTTTAAATTAGTCTTTAACTTATCTGTGTTAAATAATTCTAGAACTTTTTTTTTTTTTTTTTTTTTTCCAATTAGTTTTCCATGCACACTCAACAGGCATAACACATTTAAGCAACACTTTGCCACAGTTGAGCACAACCAAATTTTTTTTACATTAAGTACTAAATGAGCACTTAATGTTCCTAATATACATGGTTGAAATAAAAAAGAGTAAGTGTTATTTGCAAGAGAAAAGTCACCATTTCTTTCATTAAGTCTTTCAAAGTGAATTTATTCATAGCATCAACCTTCACATTTCTCTCTCTCCAAAAAGTTGTGCCAAAGTTCTAGCTTACAAGCAAAATTTTCCAAACTGTATTAGATTACAAAAACACTACACTTTTTTGCTAAACCCTTTTTCTGTCATTTTTCAGTTGCAATAACAGTAGAGAAACTGCTGATAAATAGTCACTTGAAAACACTATATGCTAAACTTTCAGCTTAATCAGTGTTATTATTCAAACAAGTTATCTAATTTTAATCTAAAACTTTCTTTGGTGAAAACTTGGAAGATAAATTCTTCAAAACTCCACTTATCTGTTGCTGCTGCTGCTGATGATGACAGCAAATAATAATATATGAGGGGATAACCAAAAGAAACTGAATTAACTTTTTGGTGGGCAGAGCTTTTATAGTACCATGTTTTGCTGCTAAGAGCGTACACAGTGAACATTCGCGAGTCAGTAAGCCGAGTGCCGTCGGTGAAGAAAGTCAGTAGTACTAATTTCAGGAGAGCTTACAGTGACAACTGTTTCATGTAATCCTTGTTTTCACAATGGCTGGATTTTTTTGAACAGCATATGGCAGTGAAATTCTGCTTTTTATTTGGGAAAAGTGGAACAGAAACTCTTAAAAACGGCATACAGGGATGATGCTATATACTACGGGATGCTATATACAGGGAAGATGCTATATATACAGGGACTATGGGAAAAAACTCAAGTGTTTGAGCAGTTTTCTTGTTTTAAAAAATAGTGAAACATCAATTGATGAAAAACCTCATTCTGGTCGTCCTTCCATGGCCAAACACAAGAAAATATTGAAAAAATTTGTGCAATCATCAACGAATATTGATGATGAGCCATTGAAGAAACTGAGGAATTGTCAGGAGGGGCTTGGAGTTCAGCGCAGCGAATTTTGATAGGAGATTTGGGAATGAAAAAGAGTGGCTGCCAAATTTGTGCGATGACTGCTGAATAAAAACAAGATCGCAAGAATGAAAGAATGCCCTAGAATGAAAACAGACATGAAAGGAAAGTGTTTTGCTGATGTTGAAGTGAGGAAAAAAATGATGGAAGCACTTCTCAAGCATCACAAAAGCTGAATTTAAACAATGTTTTGAAAAAACGTAATAAAAGATTAGACAAATGTATTAATGCAAGTGGAGAGTACTTTGAAGAGGATTGAAGGTTTGTACTTAAAATGTGAATAAATAAGTTGGAAAAAAAAAGTTCGGTTTCTTTTCGGTATCCCCTTGTACATTTAAAAAGTAAAATAATTGGTTGTAATATATTTGAAAAAAATTTCCTTATTAGATTTAGTTTTATAACTTACTATTAATGTCAAAAAAGTATGAGCTTCAGTTAAATTCATTTAACATCTTTGCACTTTTATTTTTCTCTTTGTGAATTAGCCTTAATGGAATGGTTTTTCAATATGTGAATATCTAAATGCATGCCAAAATTACCAAATTCTACAATTATTCTTTCAAGCTCAGTTTTGATTATTATATATTATGGTGGCTTAAGACATATATGCATGTCCTTTTGGACTGTTTATCTTGAGAACGAGAAGCCAAAAAATAATTTATGGGTTTGCATCTACATGCAGAGTGTTTTGGAAAGTCCAGAAAGACAAAAGTCATTCAAAAAAACATTAAACATTTTATTGAAGTACATACAAGGACAGGTGCAACAACCGAAAGATTCTTTCATGTTTCATTAAATGCTAACTTTGATTCTCATATATTTTAGAAGCTGACATCATTCTACTTCAGGTTCAATTCACTTCAGTTTGCAACATCCTCCCCCACTGTGACTTGGGAACAGTCTCAAACTTATAACAAGTACAGCTGAATAAATCCATCTTTTAGATGCTTTTATGCAACTACCAGAAGAGATATATCTTTCCATTATTATATCATTTGGAGACAAACTAATCTTAAATCCACACGCTTTCTGAGAATTATATTCCTCCTCTCCTATTTTCTTATTTTCAGCTAACACTGTTTCAATGCTTATAGCTCTAAAGGGAAGACTTAATGCACCAGTCACAAGACTCTTTTTTGTTGAGTTTTAAACTTAAAGGGGGAAACTTTTCCATTTCAATCAGGAATCAGTGCAATAATTTTTGCTATAGGCCAAAATAAACGGCTTTTATTATCATCACCAATTAAAACAATTTCACTAATTTTTGGTTCATGCTACAGTTTACAATGCATTTTTGAATAAGCTTGTTAAAATAATGTTTTCTAAAACATTTAAGCCATTAAAAAGTTTTCCTTAGTATCCTAATTTTTATTCAATTTTTCTGAATCCAGTTCATTAATGTTCCTAACACTGGAACAGTGGTTTCCTATAAGAAACATAGAGGATGTAAGAGAAATCGATTTTTGTGGATCTTCTGATACATATGTTAATGGTCTATAATTAATAATTGATTCACAGTCACAGATCAATAGTCAGTTTTCAATTTTTCCTAACTCAATACAGATTTATCTAACATATGTTTTAACAATTCTTTTACAATGTGAACCAACCTTTCCCAACAGGTTGCAGTGGGTGATATGCATTTCCAAATTATATTACTATTTATATTTTATATCTCTCTAGAAATTTTTTCCCAATCTAATTTAGAAAGATCATCAAATGCTTCTCTGAAATTGGCTCCATTATCATAATTTGTGCTTGGCTTTTGCCATCTAGTGATAAACTGCCTAAGCACCAACCAAAAAAAAAAAAAAAAAAAACAAAACTGAAATGTTTCAGATTTTAAATTACGTTCAAGGCGTTTTTTTAACATTTGAGTGTTACCTTTATTTATTAAATATCATGTTCTTTGCACTTAAACCTAAAATTCAGTTCAAGAGCATATCGCAAAATAATGTTAAATTAAGCATATCTTTAAATTCCTATATACACGGTCCGCGAGCTGGAGATAAAAGTATTTTTTTTTCTATATAACGTTGCCATTTCTCACTTTTAAAGCATTGAGTTTGTAAATCAAAAA